AAACCCCAAATCCCTAAAACCCCAAACCCCGAAACCCTAAAACCCGAAACCCTAAAACCCTAAAACCCTACACCCAAAACCCTAAAACCCTAAAACCCTAAAACCCCAAATCCCTAAAACCCCAAAACCCTGAAACTCTTAAACCTTAAAACCCTAAAACCCTAAAACCCCAAATCCCTAAAACCCCAAAACCCTGAAACTCTTAAACCTTAAACCCCAAATCCCTAAAACCCCAAAACCCTAAAACTCTTAAACCTTAAACCTTAAACCCGAAACCCTAAGTCCCAAAACCCTAAAACCCTAAAACCCTTAACCCTCTTCGGTTTTGGGCCTTTCTCGATCATCTCCGGCAGCAGGCCTGGAGGTGGGCTTCCCGAAGTCTTTTCGGCTTCCGGGCCCCTGAAAGCCCGTTTTAAAGCTTAGGGTTCAGGGTTTAGGGTTTAGGGTTTAGGGTTTAGGGTTTAGGGTCTAGGGTTCCGGGTTAAGGGTTTAGGGTCTAGGGTCTAGGGTTTAGGGTTCAGGGGTGTCTTTTCGGGTGCCGGCATTTTGGGTGTTCAGTTTTCGTTTGCAGGGTTTTGAGAGTCGAGTAATTCCGTGGATATATAGAGGCTAGAATTAGAACAGGGCTCGAGGGGCGCTGTTATAGTATCGTATAGCAAGAAACCTTCAGAAGTACCATTGCTGATGTGTTTACGACCCTATGGTAGAGCTCCAAGCCTGCCTGGAGATAGTAACCCAATGTGCCATCTGGCAAAGCTGGTCTGCTTGAGGGACTAATTACGTAGGGAAGGACCTTAAATGCACCTTCGGGCTTGCAGTGCCCCAGCAACGTGAGTTCACAAATCGGGCACTCTGTGATACCGGGTGCCAGCCGGTATCAAATTGAATGAGCCGTTCAACGTTGACGTTCATCTTGTTCCCTCTCAGCCACACGCATTCACAAGCACAGCACGAAAAAGCGTTCCTTTGAATTGGGGCATCCGCATTGCAGCCATCGCATGTAGCAGACGAACGAATTACATGGCACATGAAACCCTAGACCCTAAACCTTAAGCCTAAACCCTAAACCCTAAACTTAACCCTAAACCCTAAATTCGCACGGAACCTCCGTCCGACAAAAAAAAGCCTTGCGCGCAAGGCCCGTGACAGGCCAGCCTTCCTGGGCCTGGGAAGAAGCTGCCCAGAGACTCCAATATCCCTTAATTAAGGAATAGGGTTTAGGGTTTAGGGTTTAGGGTTTAGGGTTTAGGGTTTGGGGTTTAGGAATATACCTTAAGTCATTTTGGGGATCCTAATACATTTTAAGGTATATTCCTTAATTAAGGAATATACCTTACACCATATTCGGGATCCTACTACAATTTAAGGTATATTCCTTAATTAAGGGATATTGGAGTCTCTGGGCAGCTCCGAGCCCAGTTCGGCAGACCGACGCTTTCCAACAGAATACAGGGGGGGCTTTATAAATGGGTTTAGGGTTTAGGGTTTAGGGTTTAGGCCTTTATAATTAGAGTAGGGCTTTGGGGTATATTATACTATAAATACTATAAATATACTAAGGAACCCTTCAAACTAGCAAAGGTAGTTATTTAGGCCCCTATATTAGAAGGTGCGGTCAAGGGCTGAAGGGCCCCCCGCCAAGCGGAAAATCTGGGATCGGGCGCGGCCCCAATCCTGAAGAACGGAGCTCACCAGTTCATCTTCCCGCCCGGTGCAGTGAGCGTGGGACAACCCCAGCAACGTGGGTTTAGGGTTTAGGGTTTAGGTAGTCATCATGAAACATCCTGGATCAAAGCCACAAATCTTGCACGACCTTCATTTGATCTAGGATCTGCCTGTGCACCTTGATCCCTAAACAACTGATCCCGAAACGTGGGGTTTAGGGTGTAGGAAGATCCCGACACGTAACCCTGCAACCCTAAAACAACACAAAAAATCCTATACTCGCTGCAACAGCCCACGCGACAAACTCAGAGCTGAGAATCACCTTAAGCCAACCCGAAGAGCCCAAGAACAACCCCACAACCCTGAAACCAACATGACAAAAGACCCCCAAACCCTAAAGCCCTAAA